GATGCTGTGATTCTGTGTGACTCATCTCCAATGACACTTCTTTGACATATCATTAAAGGCAGATGAGCGCTTACGAGCCAGCCCTGACCCAAAGCTGGTGAGATGTTAACCCTGACCCTCCGCAGAAACAATTAACCCATGCGGCAGCACCAGGCCAATGTGGTGGCACACCCTGAAGTTCAGAGCTCCCTCGCATCCCATCAGCTAGAAACAATAAAAAACCCCTCACAGCGTGCTCAAGAACAGACCCACTGCTTGAAATCTCAACTACGTGCCATGTCACCAGCAAGAAAACGTGCAAACATATTACCTCATTCATTGTCTCTCCGGTATGCTGCGTGGGTTCACGTTGTTGTTGGAGTTCATCTTCTAACGTCTGATGAATGTGATCAAACTCATCCTTGCACAGAAAGAGATTTTAATAAATCAATACCACCAGAAAGCACGCTGCCATGCATCCCTCAACACCAGCGTACAGGATTTTCAGTTTGAACATATCTTGATTAGATGGGGGTTTGTAATCATACCTTATATTTTAAGAGAATGTTTCATCCAGAGTTATCCCAAATCCTTGTGAAAATCCCTCAGTTGTCTCAGCTAGTACTGGGCAGTCTGCGGGTTCGCTACCTTTTTTTTAAAACCTGTGATCTCCTTGGCATCTTCCTTTTAGAGCCTGTGGGCTCAGCTTTGCCCAAAGACACGTGTTGATGCCAAGTATGCTCGACTCACTTTTATCAGAGTAATGCTGGGTTACTTCCCCATGTCCCTCTCTTTTGAGCCGCCTATCGAGCTAACAGATCCCTGTTCCCCGGCAGCCTGCACACATGAACTAGCATCACTCAGGAGGTTAGTTGCCATTAATATTTTGCACCTTGGCTCTGCAGATGTGACCGTGCTTGTACATGCCATGCCTTCTACCAGAACTCAGAAAGCATTTCCCCACGTCTGTATCAGAGACAATTACACAAACACCCATTTTTGTACCCTGGCTTTTTGCATTAGCAAGGATGCGTCAAAAAAAATCAATTATGCTTGAGCAGCCTAGCTAAAAGCTGCATTCACTTCTGTAACAGACAGGAACGTGTCTGGACCTTCCGTCTAAGAGTGAAACAAGTACGTAACAGGTCATTTGGGAATAAGAAAGGCTACACGTTCCAGTAAACAGAGTAACAAGAGCAATTAACCTATTAACCTGTAACACTGCTGTGACTCTAACGATTCTCTAAAACAAGTGTGATGCTACCCGAAACAATGGCGTGCTCAGTCAACAGTTTCCAGTTCACAAGGACAGACAGCAATGACATCATCTGGGGAGAATAAACAGTCCGCTTTAGAGAAACTGTTTTCCTGACCTCCAACGTATCTTTCACCTCGTTTTAAAAACACAGGGGAAAAAAAAAAGGTGTCCAGTATAAGAACTGCAGAGAAGTTGTGTTTGATTAGAAATGAGGAGCGTTAAGCTTATAACGTGTTTTGGTCACGCAAGAATACATTTTCCTTTAACAAGTCTCATTCCTCTAAATGGCCGCATGAAAAGTGGGTAAAAGTCAGGTATTTACAGGCCTGCCCACCTACCAGGGGACTCTGGCACCAGGTACCAAGTAAACTCGGCATTGTTCTTCACATGCAGACAGCCTGTATTATTTCCACGTACAAGATTTTGCCTTGGCTCTGTCCTACACCCAGCCCAGCTGCAACAACACTCTCTCCATCTTTACCCAGCACCAGTCTTGTTACCGAACCACGTTCATTACGGGATCGTTAGAAGGAACGGTCCTGGGAGAGGACTGCCGTAAGTCAGCTGCATCCTCAGACGGACGAGCTCCGTGCAAGAAGGTTCAGGTTCAACACCAGACTTGCAGGCATCTCTATCCTTCTTTTGCCCTGGCCGTGGCACTGAAGGAAGAGCAAATCCATTCTCACCCAGTAAACCCTCGGTCGCAGGTATGGTTAACTGGCATTCCACTGGAAGCTTACAGCTCCGCTTCCCCTTTTTAACTGCAGTGAGGTTTCCATTACACTGCTTCGTAGGGGAAAAAAAGGGTGTGTTTGCAGCAAACATCTATATCAAGTGACAGACATTCAGGAGTATGTTATTCAGGATTTGCAGAGAGGCATTTTCTATCCACGAGTGGGAGACAGCACATCAGCGAAGTTTCTCTGCCTCACTGCAAACAGATTCTTTGGCTCCGAGGTGGATAGTTACATCTGAAGGTGTTACTGTGCCATGGATGAAGCCTGAACGACAACCAACCCTACAACAGTTAGGCAGACTAGGGCTCTGCAGTCAGAAAGGGATGCTCTTGAGGCCAGTAAAACCTGAGGCGGCACAGAAAAGGCAGATGAAAAGACAATTAATTGCTCACTGCCTTTTAACACAAGAGCTGGGGAGCATCAAACGAAGCTAGGAGATAGCAGGTTGAAACAAAGGAATTTCATGTGACAGTAGCTGAACTGTGAAAGTCCTCGCTATAAGATGTTGAGAATATTAAGGAAACTGCATGGGTTTAAGAAGCAAACAAATTGATGGAAGAGAAAAATTAATCAAGGACTACTAGACACAACGATAGCACCTCTGGTTCGGTCACTGCATGGCACTGGAGGCAAGGGGAGCATCCCTGATGAACTACCATGACATATTTGCCCTCCTATGACACTGTCTTCTGAGGTTTGGCATTTGCCTTCTGGTCAGATGGTGCAACACGGCCCAAACCAAGCTGAGCTTTGCCGCGGGTCTGCCAAGCCTCCCTCCTTCAGCAAGCTTGATCAAAAAAGGCCAAGAAGCTTTTCAACCCCAAACCAGTTTTATCAGAATGAAAAACTAGAAACTTAAAACTGTAGACAGTTCAAGGTAGCGTCAGAAGATGAGACAGCCATGAAGGGGTCTGTCTGCAAGTCTTCCAGCTGCTTGTGCCCCAGCCGGCTCCAGCCCGGGGGTCACCAAACCCCGCCGGTCCCCTCTGTCCCCAGGAGGGCTTTCCAGTCGATCCTGCCCGGCTGCAGCTCCTGGCCCTCTCCTGACCCCCCTGCAGCCTGGAGCCCTCTCCCCTAAGCCCACCCACTGGGTCCCTGGGCAGGAGCAACCCCACCCCTACTCCTCCAGAGGGGTAACCCAGCCTGGCCACTTCCCAAGTGGCAGAAGGAGACTGGGAAAAAGATGAAAAACTTAACGCTGTATCACAATACCGCAGGGCTAAACGGGCTCTAGCGCTGGCCCGGTGCAGCAATGTGTGTGCCCCTGTGCATCCGACAGCCATCGCCATCAGAACCAAGCTGAGGATGAGGCCAGCAAGCACAGCGAGGCAGGAGAAGCAGCTACGAGGGCCAGTGGCTCCCGGGCTCCGGCTCCGTGACACGGCTGTATTCAGGAGGAGGTGGAAGCCGGTGGGAGGGAGATCTGTCCCAAACTGCCTCTACAACATGCCGCAGCTGCTGCTCCTCCACCATTTGTCAGCGTTCTTCATCGCAACCTTGGAAAGCCAAAAATCAGGACCTGGACAGTCCTCTCCAACCTGCCAATCATCAAGTCATGCTGTGAAATTTATTTACTGAGCTCAGTCTGTAAGCAGAGGTTTGCTTAACTTCTGTCCTCTACGTCAGCAGTTAGGAGACAAGGGAGGAGTTTTAACCTCACCTGAAGTATAGGGAAAGTTTTTTCTTAAACTAATGATTTTCAAGGGAACTCAGTCATCTGAAATTACATACTGGATCTCCAGGAAATCTGGATTAGCAGAAAGTCATTATTACCTAGTGAAGATCCTCCAGCCAACTATATCACAAACTCTTCGCCATTCTCTCTGTTAAAATTAATCCTATTCACTATCCCTCTGCAAGATGTGGGAGCAAATCAAGTGTACATATACTAGTGTGAAACAAAGAAATCACATTCAGCATTAAGAATCCACAGGGTCCTCATAGACAGGAGAAATATTTTTACTTTAAAAAAAAAAAAAAATCTCTCAAAGACATCCTTTTCCCCCGCACACCTTGAGTCAGCCTGAGCAGCTGAAGCAGGAGGTACCTGGAGCTGTGCAGCACGCAGCCTGTCTACGCAGCTGTGTGAATCCAACTTCTGATCCGCGATCTCCAGTTTCTCCAGTAGCGTCGTTCTTTCTACCAGTAAATAAGCAATCTGTTCGCTGGCATTACTGTGAGCTATTTCGGACAAGCCTTCCTGTTCCAGCATCTCCTCGACCTCCTTCAGCTGGGCTTCTGCAAGACAAGGCTGGCCGTGAGCAAAGGAACAAAGCACAATTCCTTGCAGATCTGCGTCCTAGCTCCTCTGAACACTCCCCACTGCAACAGCCCCCATTTCTCCTGGAGCCCAACAGCTCCTAAAGTCTTTTCTCCTGCTTCCCATCTCCCTTGCTGCCTCTCATCCCCTGTTCTTGCCTATTGTCTCAGCCCTATTCCCTCCGTCCCGACGTTTCTGCTCACATCCACTACCCTGTCTGCCAAGCAAGCGATAGGACCTGTTACATCTAGACTGAGTTCTCCTGCCTTTTTCTAAGTGGAGGAGTTATTACAACCATTTTCTTCTACACAGCAGCTAAGTTTCACCAACCTGGTTATCCTCGACCCTTTTAACCCTTAATATAGCTTGGCTGAAACTAAACAACAGATTAAATAGGCATCGAGAGAAACCAAACAGATGGACATGCAATCACATAAACATTTTCTTTGCAAGAAGAGACACAAAATACCACATCACTCATATGAGCAGAGCATCACTCTTTTCCTAAGGACTGTCTGGTAGGGAGGTAGATCTGAATATCTCTTCCTCTTCCCCACGCACAGCAGTGATGCGCAGCAATGCCTCGTGCATTGCGCACAGCCCATGGTGGAGATCAGGGCGCTGTATCCCACGGGATATGGTAGGAAAGCACTGTGAGGAACCAACAAGGGCCTAGGCAGAGCCAGAGAGACACAAAGGGACTCAGAGTACTTCTTAAAACACAACCTTAGAAATCACCCCCTGAACAGCATTCCTGACCCATTACTCCAAAACCAGCTATAAACCCAGACTAAGGAGTGCTTCTGGTAACACAGACCTGTTGTTTGAAGGTCTCCTGTAGCATTAAAGGTGTAAAAAAAATCCTTTTAGAATTAAACTGTCAATTCTTCATCATTTATCCCAAAATTATAGCTAGGAAGACTCTGTACTGGGAAAAAGTTCGAGATTCAGTGGTCTCCAAGGCAAATAGATGACAACGACATTTGCAAGAGAAGTCGGTTTATGGCTAGGCACCACTGTGTTTGTGCAAGCGCTGTTACAAAGAGCCCCTCGTTTGCATGATTGGAAATTTATCCGCCAGGAGAAAACGAGGCACCTTTGGTCTCCTGCATGGTCAAGGCAGCAACTCCTGCACTGGATCCAATAGCTTGTTAAGCTAAGGAAGGTTTTTTCAAAACCTCTCTATATAATTCGTATTAAAAAGAAAATCAAACCACCCTGCTCCCAGTTTCTAGCCCAAACCAGATTATAAAGGCTTCCAAGTGTCGGACGGGAATTGGGGGGCAGTTGTGGGTTTTGTATGGAGGAAGGAGGGATATTCACACCCTTTCACTGCTTAGGGAGCTAGAGTTAGACATCTGAGGTTAGGCAGAGCAAATATTCCTCATACTCTTACCCAGGACACATAGACAGCTCTGGACGAGTCTGTTCCTCACCTCCGTACACTGGGTTTAGCAGAGGACCCAGTGCAGTCACATCCTAAGGCTCAAATCGATCGGATGTTTCCACTCTGTATTTTGCAGCCAGCTCTGCCCAGCCCTGTGGATGGAAAACACCCTGCGGTTTCCCACTCGCCTCCCCCTGCGGTTATAAATTACAGATTGTTCAATGAGGAGGTCAAACACGGCTGACTTACAGCTTTCCTGCGCGAAGCAGAGCAAAATATTGCGTTTTGTAGTTTTAAAATAGCTGGCTGCTCGCTCCGCAGGCGTGACGAAGAGCCCACAGCTCACACCAAACTGAACCCCTCCCTTGCCTCCAACCTGCCTTGCAGTTTCCTCCCACAGTTTTGCCAAATCTCATCTAAAATAAGCTGAAAGTTGCTCTGCTTTAAGGACAAAAAACGGGACAACCATCTCCCTTTAGGAGCAATGCTCTGAACCCATGGCTGGCGATGCATTGACAGTTTCGCTTCCACGTACTTCTCTCACACCCAACCTGCAAAACAATATTAAGCAGCATAGTTTGGGGTAACAGGACCTAGAAATTTTCCAGAGGCTGAAGAGGAAAAAAAGATTTGTGAGGATGAGGGGAGTCTGCCATATGCAGCACAGACCACCTGCTCGTAAGAGCCCACTAATTCCTTACAAGTACCTCAAACACCTTCCCTACCCCACCCAACACGTCCTGCTTGAGAAGAGCAAACACCTCGTGCAAGAAGCGTTACACGAGTGGGCTGATGTCTTCCTGCGAGCAAGGACCACTCTGCACTCGCTGCCGCTGCTTCGGAAGCCGGTTTTGTATTTGCGGAGGTGTCTTACCCCAGGAGGTTTCTCAGAAATAAGGAGTTTACCAGGATGCTCACCCCCACGACAGAAGCTGTACCCTCTCATCCATGCTGGGTACGTTTAAGCCGTACAGCTGTTACGATAAACAAGCTCAGGCCACGACTATTTATCCTTTTTGTTTCACTTTTTAAACAAATCGAGGCAAGCCCCAAACAGCATTGTTTTACTGCCGTTACATTTGTTTTTCAGAAAGGCTTTTGGTAATGCAGCGCACGAGTTATCGATCTGCCCTCCAAAAACACCGGGGCGTATTCGACAAGAACCATCGGAAACGGATTATGAACTGCCTCGAGGGAAGGAAAAATTTCACTCTGGGCAGAGGTACCAAATGAGGTAAAGCTCAGATCAATAGCTCAGCATAAAGCCAGCAGCGGCTGCTCTCCGCAGTAACCCTTTGAGCCCATCCCAGGCAAGAAGTAAACGGGCAAGCAGAAACTTACTTTTTATCATCAGAAACAGCTCTTAGCACATCTAATTTCTCCCAGCAATCCTCGGACTGAGCAGAGCTGCTGATCTGCTTGGCTGCTTTTGGAGGAGCGAGTGCGCCCAGCCCTGAGAGCCCACCCAGGTCATCTCCTGCTTTTACCCAAGCCTCTGCCCCTTCCCTTCCCAGTCTCCCCACTCCCCAAACTGGGACTCCCCGCTGTCACCACGAGGACAGACCCTGTCACTCGCACCTTCACCACTTGCAGGTCAGTCCCCTCCTTTTCACCACAGCCTTGAACCAGCCTCTGTCCTCAACTGCCCCTTCCGAACTCGTTACCATCTCAAGCCTCCCAAAAGCTCCCTACCACCATCCTCTGTTCGTGCCTTGCCCACGCTTTTATTTAGCAATCCTGGTAGAGCGGGGTCCGCCTTTCCACAAGGCTCTTCTCCAGCCCCGTTTCCAGCCTGGTCTGCAGAATCATCTTGTCCCTGCTAAAGACAACCAGCTGCCCCACAAGAACAAGAGGGGGAGTAAGAACTAGAACCAACTTCTAGTTCAAGCCCTTGAGCCTGCCCCACACCCTGCAGGGCTCAGGAGGCATCTCTGGGTTGGTCTGCACAAACTCCGACGAAAAGCGGAGGCCCAGGGAATAGACACAGGGATGCGGGATCAAACCCTGCGGCAGAGGTACATTAGAGACCCGGAGCAGGCAAAGGCCTGACAGGAGGCTTTGAGAAAGCGCAGCAAGTGAAAGCAGAAGCACATCCATCCGCTCTGTGCCACAGATAGCCAGTGGGGTTTTGGTGACGAGGTTGACGTGCGAAGCAAAAGGCCAGTTCCTCAAGAAAACGATCTACAAGCATCCCAAAACACATCAGGGCTGGCATCCCTCCCTGCGCAGGACAGCCTGGTGGAAGGCAGGGCTTCATCCACTGCCCAGATCACTAAATTATCAATGCGCATCACAGGACCACAGCTAAGGCAATCAGTAAGGTAATAACAAGACTTAAAAACCAAAGTCTGACAGCGATATCCCAAAGCAAACTCCTCCAGAAAGCGGCACAGAAACACCGTATGGCACTAAAGCACGGCAGAACCACAAAAAAAAACCCCTTGGGGATGGCAGGCTGGTAACAACCTGACCGCAGTCAGCAACCCATCATGGACGCAGATACACTGAGATCCATGGACATGGATCTCCATTTCTACTCAAGTGTTAATCATTGCTCAACAGCCACAAGAATCCCTAAAAAAATGGCAAAAGTCCAAAGCAGCAGAGCCACTGTGAGGCAATAAACGCAAAGCCAGCCTTTGGGTCATTTTTGTCATTCGCCTGCCACCTCGTGGGGAAGAACCACCAGTGATAAAGTTTTCTGCCGCAGCGATGCTCCCGAGGGCTCCTTAGTCACTTCAGCCCGGGCACACCAGCCTTTTCAACACTAAAGGACAGCTTTACGTGCCCTGAGGAACTGGATTTCCAAGCAGTGATTACGCACACCCATCTCTGAGAAGCCACTCCATCAGATGTGCTCCCTGAAACCCACAGGCTGGCCGAAACCGAACAGAGACGCAAAACTGCAATCAATTTCCCAAAACTGCTGTATTTGCTGTCCCAAATAAAGCGCGCGTAACAAAGAAACTGTTCAGTTTTACCTTAGACGCAGGATAATCTGCACCACGTAAGGGGGAGCCGATGACAACGGTGTGCTATTAGCAGGACTCAAAGCACAACAGAAGACTAGGAAGACTGAAGAAAATCAAGAACTAAACCCAGCAAAATACATTTGCCCTTACTGGAAGCGAACCCAGGCTTTGAGAAGAAAGCAAATTATATTTCACTTATACTTTACTTCAAATAAGTGAAACAATTTGTTTTAAATGAAATTACTATACTAAAATAAGCATACACGACAAATTTTGAATCACCATCACAAACACACCACTGTCCTTCAAAGTTGTTTTAAAAAAAGTGGACTTTGTCTAAACCAAAGCCAATGGCAAATTCACCAACTTCAGCGGGAACACAGTCCAACACTCCGTTACCCGAGGAGTCACTGCCAAATAATTTAGAGCTGGAAAACAAACAGCACCATCAATTCTGTTCTTCGAACAGCCTCTGGAAGATGCTTAGCGCAACAACAGAGCCACACAAAGCGAGAAACTGCCCGACTCATTGAATAACGATAGTAAAAGCAGACAAGAACCTCTAAGTCAATTAGAAATCAGTTCTAATATTT